GCGCAGAATATTGACATTAGATTTTATTAATAATGAACTGCATAAGCAAGGACATTCAATTAAAACGTTTGAGGATGTTGAATCTGCCATGCATGAATACTTCCTTGTTATGGAAAGAAACTTGACCAACAATAAGTTTTATACACCATCAGAGGCTCAGAAAAACCACGAGATAGTATTTTTAATGTTTGGGTTATCAGTCATTGCTATTTTTAGCTACACAATGACTACGCATAGACCATGATCTATGTCAGGCTGAGTCTTATCAGCTATTAATAACCCTGACTGCTAATCTATAAATAGCGCTGACTGGCTGTTCCGCTGTTAGTAACCCTGATGGCTAATCTATAAATAGCGATGACTACTTAGCTATAAATAGCGATGACTGCTTTGTTACGCTGGGCAGGCCTCGGCTGATGACATGCATTTAGACAAATGATACTAGAAGTGTATATTTATCACAATGGCGAGAGGCACATCAAGATGTAAATTCATACGTATGGGCCAATCACAAATTTGTGGAAAGAGCTGTATGTCGGATTTTTTCCGAATCCATTCCATTGCAATTAGTAAAGGGCATATTAATTATACATGTTCTGTATATGGAATAAGGGTCAAAGGTAGTTACAGTTTATGTAAGAAACAAGGTGCTGACAAGAAACGGTTTCAAATTATTTATGAGAGGAAAAAGGCTTACCGAAATGAGATAAATAGATTGGGTAGAATTCAAACCAATTAGAGATTAGTTCACATGTATTTATATATCGAGCAAAATTAACGAGGAGTTAGATGATTTAAATAGTATAAAATACCAGCTGACGGTTAAAATGTCATTATTAAAAGTAACGCAGACGATGGCACTGAATATACCAAACCTTATTTCCGGAGCAATCAAGAAGTTATAACCAAATCTGAGTTTATAAGATCATCATTAGATACATCAATTCAACGGATACAAGAAACTTTAGAACGCTGGACTAACAGAGGTTCGGGTTGGGTTGTGGATAAAAAAGGTAGTTTATATTTAGATATAGCAAATTATATGCCTTTCAAAGCTGGATCTTATATAGATTTACCCCCATATTTAAGAAGAAAAAAGCTATATTTAATGTAAAAAATAAAGGTGATGGCTGTTTAAGAATTGCAATGAGATCTGCATTGTTTCCCCAAAAACAAAAATCCAGATGGGCCATCTAGCTATCCCCAAAACGATGGACTCAACTTTGATTGTATAGATGAACCTACACCAATCTCACATATTGATAAGGCGGAAAAGCAAAATAATTTAGCTATAAATGTTTTTTTCTTCTAAAGGAATTGTTGTACACAGGATAAGCTCCACTCCACAATTTATTTCTAATCGAAAAAGATGATAAATATCATCATATATGGATAAAGAGTTTAAGCAGACTATTATGCGATCAAACAAAACATAAGGGAAAGAAATATTTCTGTGAAAGATGTCTCAATGGGTAGAGCAGGCAAGATCTATTAGAAGTGCATAAAGAAGACTACAGAGGTGTTGGACAGACTGCTATCAGGATTGATATGAAAGAGGGGAAAAATATAGTAAAATTTGAACATTATTGTAATCAAATACCAGTACCGTACGTAATTTACGCCAACTTCGAAGCACTTATCAAACCTATAGAAAATACAGTCCGAAGCAATCAAGCTAATTTTATGTGCAAAACTCAAGAACATATTCCTTGTGGGTTTGGATATATAGTTGTAAGGTATGATGGGAAAACAAACCCGCCCGTGATTCACAGAGGTGCCGATGCAGGGGGAAAGTTCCTAGAATATCTAGACAATGAAGAGAGAATAATCAGGGAAAATTTATTGTGTAAGAAACCCATGTGTATGACGAGGGATGATTGGAGGGCCTATAAGAAGTCAATGAGTTGTCCTGTTTGTACTAAACCCCTGAATAGGGATTCCGTAAGAGATCATTGCAACATCATGGGTAATTATCGGGGAGCCACGCATAACGAGTGTAACTTGAAACTAAAAATGAATTCTCAATCAATACCCATCCCCATTGTGTTTCACAACCTTAGAGGATATGATTCACATTTCATTATGCAAGCTATCTCAAAGACTCTTGGCGGCTTAACATGTATTCCTAACAATATGGAAAAATATATATCATTCTCATTGACTAAAACTATACATTATACGGACAAGGATGGGAAAGCCAGAATAAAGCAAAGTAATGGGCTTAGATTCATAGACTCTGTACAGTTTCTGTTATCTTCCTTTGACAATTTAGCTAATGCAAACAATCCCAATGACTTTGCAATAAGAAATCAATATACCGATAGGTTAACACAGTATTTGTTGCTGAGATAAGGTGTATATCCTTATGAATATATGGATGATTGGTCTAGATTCAACGAAACTAAATTACCACCCCTTGAATCAATCTATAGTAACTTAACAGAATCTAAAATAACCGATGTCGATTATGAACACGCTCTGACGGTCTGGGATAAATTAGGTTGTAAGAATTTAGGCGATTAACACGATCTGTACTTAAAAAACGATGTACTGTTACTCGCTGATATATTCGAGATATCGTGGACTATCGGACTATGGTGGGATGCATTGTTGAAGAAGACCTGTGTTGAACTAAAATTACTCACCGATTATGATATGCACTTGTTAGTTGAGAAAGCATTAAGAGGTGGTATATCGATGGTGGTGAAAAGGTATTCTAAGGCTAATAATAAATTAGTGGAAGGATATGATCCGAGTAAACCCGACACGCATATATTATATCTCGACGCTAACAATTTGTACGGATGGGCTATGAGTCAACCTTTACTCACGGGCGGGTTTGAGTGGCTTGATGTTAATGATATCGAAGTGAATGATATCCCCTCAGATTCCGATAAAGGGTACATACTAGAAGTTGACTTGGAATATCGAAATTCGTTACATAAAGATCATAACAGTTATCCGCTAGCTCCTGAAAGATTAATGGTGAATAAAGATTGGATGTCGGAATATCAACACTCCTTGATGGGTTAGCTAACGTAGAAAAACTCGTACAAAATTTGATGGATAAGACAAAATATATGTTTGACTTTTATTACAACGACTTTAAGAAGCAATACAGTGATAGATGCGAGGTGTTATATACCGACACAGATTCTTTGTTGATGGAAATACAAACCAAGGATGTGTATAAAGATATGGCAAAAAAAATAGATATGTACGACACGAGCGATTACCCTAAAGATAATCCACTGCACAGCGTAGTAAATAAAAAGGTATTAGGTAAGATGAAGGGTGAATGTCCTGGGACCCCTATTGCTGAGTATGTCGGATTAAGACCTAAGATGTATTCTATAAAGAAGTCCGATAATGGGGAGATAAGAAAAGCTAAGGGCGTTAAGAAGTATGTTGTAAAAAAGCATATCAAACACGAACAGTATAAAGAATCATTATTCAACGGTAGAACGTTCAAACACGAGATGAACTCTTTAAGAAGTTACAATCAAAGGATATATGGATTAAGAATGAAGAAGACATCATTATTCCCCTTAGATACAAAGAGATGGATTGATAAGGATGGTGTAACTACCTATGCTTATGGTTATGGTGGTAATACTGTATCGTTGGGAGTGAGTGAGTGAGTGAGTTAAAATTTTAAGACACATCGGCAATATTTCAGCCATATCGTGACTATCAATAGTTAAACATAATACATATATTGAAACTTGTATAAAAACCTGTCAATGAAGGACAGTAAAATTACTACATTCATCACAGAAAAAGATATAAAACTAGTACGGAATTATAAAAGAGAATTGCACTATACATAATGATACAAGATAAAAACAGGCTATGGATCGCCAGCAGCTGAAGGTAGACCAACATGCTAGGGTCCATGGGGACTTACAGTACTTTTGCTACCTGCATGGACCCCAGCCGGATTTGCACCTTTCCTCAGCTGTTGGTGATTACGACAAGTTTAGCCAAAGGTAAACGAACATATATACTACTATTAAAAACGTGGCCAAAATAAATATACTTTGAAAGACGTGGTCTGACATACCCTCTCAGGGGGACAATAATTTTACACTACTTCTATCCCCTTCGAGGATACAGCCACTAACAATCTCAATTATCAAATTTATTTTACCAATTATAAAAGCTATATTATATATAAAACATATCAATCAAAATTTAAGTAAAAATTCAATTTCTTTTAAAAAGTCAATAATTAAACGAGCACTGATATTATAAAGATGAAAACTTTGAAATATTTATCCCTTTAAATGGAAAAATCAACACAATCAAGCAGGACATGCTTGACGGTGATTCTCTCATCACAAGGGATACAAAATGGAGGATCAACATTTTTTAATAAATATTCGTGTGTATATCTACTATGGCCTCATCAAATCTGGACTGACAACCAAATGTGGTTTTATTTCATGTAATTTATTGATACCTACTTGGGTGTCCCACTTCTTTTGCATCAGATCATGGATGTAAGAACTTATTACTGGTTTATAAGCAGTGTATGGGATAAAAAGTGGTGTCACAGATTTGTCGAGTGCTGCTTTTGCAGCAGCATCAGCCATTGTGTTGCCTTTAATGCCCACATGACTGGGCAACCAACAAAAGACGATGTCGTATTGGCCAGTAGCAAGGTCATTAAATAATTCCATAATTTTGATTAAAAGTGGATGTTGACTTGATATGTTATGGATAGCCTGCAGGCAAGAAAGAGAATCGGAAAATATGATAAACTTCTTATATTTTGACTGTTTACTGATATATTGTAAAGCTGTTAAAATGGCATTGGCCTCTGCTGTGAAAATAGAACTGTTATCAGGTAACCTGGAGGAGATAGTCCTGGATCCAATGACAGTGGCGCTGGCAACAACGCCACTATCCTTGGATCCATCTGTAAATTTGTAAGTATTATATGTGTTTCTTAATTCATTATATTTTTGTTGATAAATAAGTTGGTTTGTTTCCGATTTCTTTAATTTAGTTAATGTCAGATCCACCTCTGGCTTTATTAACTGCCAAGGTGGAGAAGACAAAAGCTGCATGGGGGCTATATCTTCAAGATTAATTTGAGCAGCTGAAATATCAGATTGAAGTCTTGTTCCAAGTGGGGGGAGAACCAATGATTTTTTTTTATAGAGATTTCCATAAAGGGGGTTAAAAAAAACAGTCATATGCTGGATTCCAGTTATTAGAGCGTAATTTAGAGACATACTGTAAAGATATTTTGATTCGGCGTTGTTTAAAGGGCAAGTTCACACGAAAATAAACCTATTTTTCTTGTACTTTTTCATCATGAAAAGTATTTACCTAGTAGTTTCGAAGGCAAAACAATAAAAATATCACACGTATCTCATTTATTTTATTCATAAAATCGGTTAATATTTTTCACATTTACAGAGAGTTCTATTTCCATAATAAACACACCATGGCTGATGCCCCTTGCAATATGACGTCATTGGTGCCAATTGATAAAGGAAAGACGTCATAAGACTTTATTAGACGCGTTTCACGTGGTGTATGTAGAGGTGTGTGGTTCTATCTTCTCAGATGCGCATCCCATTGTTTTGTTCGGTGCCGAGCTGTCCAAGATACAACGCTAAGCACAATTACTCTAAAATTATTTCGTTTTCCAAAATCGCGACTGAGAAGACAACAATGCATGGATAACATACTGTAAGATTCGCGATTGTGGTTGGAAAGGTCCGTTGTATGAATTGCGCTTATTCGTTCATTTGTGTTGCGCATATTCGCTCTTGCTGAGTTGCTGTCGTCTTCCGTGAGAGTTTAGATATCTGCTGGTTCTGAAACCACAGGACCATTTGTAACTAATAATAACAATAAAAAAAACTCGCCAAAAAATTATAGACGAGGCCGAATGCCGTTTTCGTTACTATTATTAGTTACATGGTCCTGTGCTGAAACTGATCGGAAGCGGATGGTGTACGAACCTTATATGGAAACGGGCTAAAGGGACAGCACTCTCATCAAGACCCTGACTGGGATGTTTTTGTAAACAAACGCCGTAAAGTTGAAGTAACTCGATCAGGTAAGTTTGCTGTTTTGTTTCTTCTAACCAAAGTAGTATTTAAGAAAAGTATTTTAGCAGGGGTAGGGTGATATTGTACATAGTTTCACTTGATAATCATGAATATCCTCGATGTTGTCTATTTCACATGTTCACTTCCTCCATGGTTATGTCGATACACCTGATCAGCTGATCGTTGCAGTATGCAGCAAACTCCTGTTGATGGAGTAAGTTGTGTTACGTAATGTTTTAGTTTTACAGCCATTCCCGTCTGAAATTAACACAAATCATCTCATTTCGGTAATTAATAAACTTTATAATAACACAGGAATTATATAAACTCATTGAAATTCTGTGTGTGTGTGTTTGTGTGTGTACCTAATCTTTAAATAATCATGTACAATCATTTTGATTCAGACTGTTGAAACTGTTGAAACAACCTCGTTGCCACATGTTTCTTTTTTTTATTTAGGCTTTATATATTTTTTTATTTAAAAAGATATCTGGTTTTGCTGGTTTGTAGCTGACAAAATACCCAGTCTCTATCCAAAATCATCGCCCACCCACCACCCAAAATATTCAAATTCCATGTTCAATGCAATTTACACACATATGTACATGAAAAAAATCAAGTTACCATTTTTTATTTTGTGATAGTGGGATATAGATGACAAAAGTGTTAATGTTTCTATGTTGTATCTTTCAAATAAGGAGTCATGCTTGACACTGATGCCCAAAAAGTACAGGTCCCCAGTCCATCATGGTGTACAGTCACTGTCCAATGTACACCAGAAGCATGGCACACGGTGCTTTACAGTATGAGGTACAAAATAATATTTTGACAATAAATAATCACACAATGTAAATATACTTTATGCAAATAATTTCTGTATTGAACTATTTTGTGTATCTAATATATTCTATATTGTTGTCTTTTGTTGTAAAAGTGTAGTGTGGATGACAAATGAACATATACTGTGAATGACATATAAAAGTTTATATCTGATACAATTTGTACACAGTTAACTGATGATATTTGTATTCAGGCACCCAGTGACATGCCTAACACTGCTGAAGATTATTACCACCTTCTTTTATAATTATTTAGTCAGTGTACATATTATTTTGACAAATTTATGTTAAAATTATTTATATATTTTTCAGGTCCCACAATGATTATATGGAAAAGTATACATGCGACGAAACCCTTTCCATATTCATATGAAATCTCTGTAAAAAACAAAGTCGATGATACGATTATGACTAAATCATGAGCATGTGTTAATGAATCGCTATCAAATAGTGATAATACCAGGTGTTCGCGAAAGGTGAGAGTATCCTGCCCCACCGATGTCAGAAGAAATCCCTGGTGTTGAGATCCATTTTCATTGTGTGCAAATTGTGTTTATTTTCATGCAGAGTCATAAAATATTAGAGCGTCTTGTGAGGTACAGTGCTTCAGACAACAAGAGAGCTGTACTTTTGAATTAGTCAACCAGTGCACTAACAAGTTGCCACTGAGCATTTAGCCAGTGCTTGTCATATTTTCTTCAGTCTTTTCCCCAGCCCAAAACTACCTCATCCAGCATCAGCCACCCTGTATTACAGAAATTTATCAAATGAAACAGCCAAGGCTGATTGTTGTCATAGACCATAAAACAAGATTTCAATGAAAAAAGTTTATTTTAATGAGCATAGAGAAAAACATTACATACATCAAATGCAAATCTCTCACAAATCACCTCGACAACACAAGATGGAATAACTTTTCTCTGATTCTTCAACTATTTCTGCAAATCCCCAAAGTGAACCTCTTGTTTATGAGGTGTAGATCGATTCTGAAATGAAAAAGTGTCTTTTATTAGTCAAGCTATACACAACATTACAAAAAATATCATACCTTTTACATATATATTTTTGTCATTCAATCTGGAGGGATGCCTATATAAGAAGTTACTTGTATTGATGATATATGCATATTTTTTATTACATGTTAATAATTCAATAAATACCAAAACAGTTTATAGTTCTATCATGTTGACATGATGTGTTTATTACTATAGGTTTGAATACCTCTTGAAATATTGTGGGCATGTTTCAATATCACTGATGTAATTCAATAACTTTACAAGTTACATATGCTTTCACAACTTGCTGGCAAATAAACATTTATGGTATTGGAGATTTATTTTACTTGTCAGATTTGTTTGTTGTGCATGATAGATCTTAAAATGCATAATAAAATAAATTGATGAAAGTAAATAATATAATATGTTTTTCTAAACTTTCTTTCAAGTGTTAATATAAAAAAGGGTGGTGGGGTAGCCTTGTGGTGAAAGCGTTCGATCGTCACACTGAAGACCCAAGTTCGATTCCCCACATGGGCACAACATGTGAAGCCCTTTTCTGGTGTCCCCCAGTTGTGATATTGCTGGAATATTGCTAAAAGCGGGGTAAAACCCTACTCACTCACTCATATAAAAAAATGATTGCATATTTCATTTGCATTTTAGGGGGTGGTTGTAACAGACGTTTTGCTCAAAAGGTCAGGTTGGGAGGTCCAAATTTCCAAACAAAGATTTACAATTTCAAATATGTTTCACTAATATTCAACAAGTTTTACTTATAGTTTCTTAGATAATTTATATGTATTGATTGTGACAGTAAATGAGATTTTTGTAAACATTTTACATATATCTGGCCCACTCAGTTAAACAACCAAATGTTTTTAATAATTAATTATATATTAGATATTTCGTCTTTTTTATAGTTTCTAAACTTTTTTTTTTTAAAATCTGGCCCCATAATAGATGATAAATAGTTTCCCTGCAAAGTTGCAATGCATTTTCTATGAATGGTTGTCAGAACAAACCAGTAACCAATTATCTATTAAATAGAATAAGATACTGTAGGCCTACTGCAGTAACTGGTTTCAAACACTAAACAAATCAATTGAGTGATCTATCTTTTCACTTTCAAATGGGGACGGTGTGAAGTGTGAAGTAAGACATCCAATTACTTATCAATAAATATGGCAGGTATTTTGAACTCGGATGGGAAAAAATCAAAGAGAATCTTTTTTTCTCCCAGTACGTTTCCACTCGGCAACCGACTTGAGAAACGTACTGGGACGTACCCCATTTTCGTGTTACTCTAAGCATATGGTCTCGTCATCAGCTGGTAGGCCTAATGTGTAATCTTGTTGAGACAACGTTTGGCGACAGATCGTATTTGTTTCTTGATATTGGCAAGTAGCATTGATGTGTAGCCTATAGGTGGTGGGAATAGTTACACCTAATACAGACAAACTCAGATTGACGACAATGCCGATACCGGCGATAGGGTCGTAACAGGGTGGGACAGGATGAATAGGCCTGCTGACGAAGCATGCGGGTCACCAGGCATGACAAAAATCTCTTAGAATATTACGTTTCCGCTTCTGAAAACGTAATGAGCATTTAGGTAATTTAGGTATAGTATACACACATCAAAGTGTTATTCTTACCACGTTGTCGATCGTAGGCTTAATTGTGTAGATGTCGAGTCGGGGTCGGGTGTCAAATTAGGTGATGTGGGTCTTCTCTTGTTTCCACTTGATTTTCATCGTTTCCATACCGCGAAGCTTGCTCGTTTTGGTTCAAAATCGTATGGTTTTGCGATTTCTTGAAGGGTCAAGGGAACTTCTTCGGATCAGGCAAGGTATCGGATGCCATGTTGTCTCACCATAAACTGGTACTTGATATCTTTTGCGTTGTGACAAGACAGGGACCCAGTTAAATTGGCACCAATTACGTCATAATCTAAGGGGGATAACTCAGGCCTGTTTAGCTCGGAAAACGAAGGCCTCATAACGGCATGACATTTTCACACTTATTGTGAGCTCGCTACATTGACTGTGAGAAAAATGAGTGTATATTTTCTAACACTGATACTAACTAATTCTAAAATTGCGTTTTGTTTAAAACAAGAAAGAAAGCGATTTTTGCGTGTACACTTCCCCTTTAAGAGATGGCTCATCAGCCTCAACGTACAGACTGTCAATAGGAGAAGTGCGGAAAGATCCAAGACATAGTCTTAGACCTTTATGATGGATAGTATCCAAAAGTATAAGGTTGCTTTTGCAGGCTGCACCATAGATGATGGAGCCGTAATCCAGTTTAGAGCGAATAAGTGCTCTGTATAATTGGAGGATGGTTTTCTGATCCCCTCCCCACTTGGAATTAGAGACAACTTTTAAAAAATCTAGGGCTTTCAAACATTTATTCTTTAAGTATTTTATACAAGGTAAAAAGGTTAAATGATGATCGAAAATGACACCCAAAAATTTCGCTTCTTTTACAACTTTAATGGGGGTGTTATCTAACATTAGTTCTGGGTCTTTGTGAGGTTTATATTTTCTGCAAAAATGAATACAGTTAGTTTTAGATTTGGAAAATTTAAAGCCATTTTCTAAACACCATTTTTGGATTTTATTTAAACACAATTGCATTTGCCTCTCAATCGTATGCATGTTCCTACCACGGCAAGAAACATTAAAGTGATCCACAAACAATGATCCATCAATTGAATCGTTTAAAACCTTTGCTAAACTGTTGATTTTGATACTAAACAAAGTGACAGACAAAATACTGCCTTGTGGGACACCCTAATCCTGATTATAATGATCAGACAGGGTTGAACGCAGACTTGAAATTGCCTGTCATTTAAAAACTTGGATATAAATAGAGGCAAACGGCCTCGCAATCCAAAATCATGTAAATCTTTTAAAATACCATACTTCCATGTAGTGTCATATGCTTTTTCTAGATCGAAAAAGATAGACACTGCATGTTGTTTGTTTATAATGGCATTCTTAACGAATGACACCAATCGTACTAAATGGTCAATGGTACTGCGATTTTTACGGAATCCACATTGAGTATTTGTGATTAAGTTATTGGATTCTAAGTACCAGGTTCATCTGTTATTGACCATGCGTTCCATTGTTTTGCAAACATAGCTAGTCAATGAAATTGGTCGATAATTGGAAGGATCAGTATGATCACGTCCAGGTTTAGGTATGGGAACAATGATAGCTTCATGCCATGAAGAAGGAAATTCTCCTGACGTCCAGATTTTATCAAATATTAACAAAAGGGTTTCTAAACAGGATTGCGGTAAATGTTTTAAGAGTTGATAACGTATATTATCAGACCCTGCAGCAGTGTCATGAGCCTGCCTAATTGCGGTATGGAGCTCGTGAATGGAAAAGACTTCTTTATTATCTTCCCCGTTATCTGAATTAAAATGTAAAGGTTTCTTTTCCTGCAGCTTTTTGTAATTTTGAAATTGAGGGACATCATTAGATGAGGAAGAATGGTGAGCCAGAGTTTCACCAAGTTTATTTGCAATATCTGATTTATCAGTTAATAATTGAGCCCCATCTTTGAGATGGGGGATGCTTGATTTAGTACCATTACCTTTTAGTTTCTGAATCATGTTCCATACCTTGGACATTGGTGTCTGTAAATTTGTTTGTTTGTTTTGTTTGAAAGTGCGCCGGGTTTTAGCATTTACGATTTTAAATTTATTGAGATTATGGACCATTGGATGGCGTCGGAAATATTTTTCAGCTTTTTTCCGTGCCCTCCTAGCTTGTTTGCAATCATTGTTGAACTATGGTTTACATATGTGAGGATTTGAGGAGGATTTAGGAATACATTCACCAGCTATTTTAGTAAGTTCATCAGAGGACATTTGTATAGAGTCGGGAACATCAATAAAAACTTCAGGTTTTAGTTTGTTAGAACAAAGGACTTCATTTAATGCCCAGTTGGCTTTAGTAAAATTCCAACGTGTAGATGGAGGAAAATCAGAAGGTGTAACAGATTTTTAAATGGTAGGAAAATGGTCACTTCCACAGAGGTCATCGTGGACTGACCATTCAAATTCATTAAGTAAATTAGAATCTACAACTGACAAGTCCAGACAAGAGTATGTTCCAGTTGCAGGATGTAGATATGTATGAGAACCATCATTAAAAATGCACAGATCTTTATTTAAGAAAAAATCTTCAAGTAATTTTCCTTTAGTAATGCTGTCAGTACTACCCCAAAGCGGGTTATGGCCATTCAAATCTCCCATGATAACACAGGGCTTAGGGAGTTGGTCATATAGTGCCTGAAGATCAGACTGTCTGAGAGGGTATGATGGTGAGATATACAACGAACACAAAATAAAAACAATATTTAACGTTATACGTACTGCAACAGCCTGCAGTATATTGCAGCAGAATAAGTCAATGAAGAGGCAGAAGTGGCTGGTTCACTCGTTACCAGTTTCTTTGCGTCTCTAAATGAAATATCATTGGTGTACTTTATTTTCAGAATTTTGGTTTGTGTTACAAAGATGGACATGATTTTGAAGTGGACATGTGATCACCGCTGCAGTTTGCACATTGTGCAGTCAGTGCTATCATGAGTCTCACTACAGCGGGAGCAAACTTGGGTGTGATGACAGGATCTCGCTCCATGTCCAAATTGTTGACATTTAAAACAACGGAGTGGATTTGGTATATACACATCCACTCCGATGTTGAAATATCCTGCTTTTATTGAGGATGGAAGCTTTGCGAGATTGAACGTAAAAAGGTACGTATTTGTTTTGATGATGTTGTTACCATCTTTCCTGTTGAACCGTTTAACTGAAGATACACCTTGAGGTTTCAATTCTGCTACAATTTCATCTTCTGACATATCTGAGAGGCACTTCGCACGGTCACGAACAATGCCTCTACATGAATTGAGTGTTTTATGCACAGAGACAACCGGACCGAAGACGTGTGACATTCTTCACAGTACCACAAATACCTTTGATAGATTTCGAAACTACAAAGGGATTGAGTTTAGAGGCTCGCCATCAATCCCTTCATCAAACAGAAATCGAGGCCAAGAGTCAATATTTTGTACAGAATCCTCATCAGAAGATATTGCAGGATCTGTATCAATATGCCTTCTTTTGTTTTTTTGTCGAGAACAAGTGATCTGTTGGGTAGCCATAATGAAAAAAAGGATGTTCGACACCCCTGCTCCCCACCCGCCATGGAGTGTCTACAAGGACGGTGCTGCAGTGGAAACCGACTACAAACACCAGGGTTACATAAAAAAATTTGATGTTTTCCAAATTAATTTTGTGGAATATTAGTAAATATATATTCAACATAAAAGTGGACCATGCTCAGGGAATGGCGTGACCAGCCGATTGATAAAACCGGACCCATTCTACCACCTGTCTAGGTGAAGTTAGGGTCATAGTGGTGTGTTGGGCAAAAGGAACACTGTTCCTGGCCCCCAGTGCCCTCAACCACCAGAATCCCTTCCTCCACCGACACAGGGATGCAACCCACGGCAAACAGGTTGCCCAATTTGGTCGCCTTTTACGACCAGCAATGGGGTGCTGTGGAAACATTCTACCCCTGTTCCACACGGGGGAAGAGCTATAAGCTTTACCCAGCACTCACCACGGGGAGGTTGCTCTTCACGAGTGCTGTAGCTTTGGGAACTATGAGCAACTCTTCTCGTACATATGCCCTGCCCGGTCCATCTTTAAGATAATAAAGTATAGGCTCTCCTTCTTTCGTAACCAATCGACTAATGTTATATATCTTAAGGGACCAAATTGGATTGGTTGTGCGATGTAGGCCTCCTTTGAGTTCACCGGGCTGGTATAAATATCTTACGCTTACGCTATCCGGAAGTTTTTGTTCTTTGCCTCTCTTCGGTGCTGAAGATTCGGAAGTCACAGATTTCATTTTAATCACATCGGATGGTTTCTTCCCGATTAATCTTGTTACTTCATTATTCAGCACTGATACAACAGCTGATAATCGTGTCACCCATTCGGTTGATATTAATCGTTCTGATTTCATTTCGATCCCATAGTGATAGCCAAACAAATGTTCTGCTAATGTCTGGTTAAATCTTTCGACGATAGCTTGACTACGGTATTGCTGGAATATTGCTAAAAGCGGCGTAAAACCATACTCACTCACTCACTCACTCACTCACTACCGTTAAAGCGTATTTATACATTTTCCGTCTTACCTTATCATTTGAAAAGAACAAGAGGTCAGCCTGATGAACTTCATTCGTTGTAAAAATATCAAACTTCTTCCTCGGTATATAATGCAGTGCCGGTAAGTATATTTGCCACATCGCTTGTTTCTTTAACCAATCCTTGGCCACATCTTTAGATACCTTAGCTGCGGTGGCTAATTTTTGAATTGATCCTATACCTTTCCAATATCCTCGTGGACTATATTAAATTTTATTCATTATTAATTAATATTGATGTTTCTCTTAATACGACTCACGACGATCGTTAAATCACATCATCGTTTTTGCATGAAAAAATCCCTCTGTGGTAGTAGTAGTATAGGTGTATAAATCTGACGCCAGTGGAAGTGAGCCAGAATCCCCATTACCTATACTACTGTTTGTTCCTATTAATAGAGAACGACTACTATGAAGCACATTCGCCTCAGCAGCATGAGGAATATCCTGGTAAACAGCAGCTTACGCAACAGCAGCACCAAAAGCAACAGTACCTTGGGGATGAAATCGGGCGCCAGAAAGGCGAGGGAATTGATCGGTGGTCGCCAAAAGCATGAGCTCTTCGTCGGCGCGGTTGATGTGAACGTCAAACTTACAAATTAAAGTTTGTGAACTCTTCATTGCTTTGTCTTTTTGTCAACGATTAAAAATTTTTTTGCACAAAAGTAAGTTCAAAATGTCAAGGTTTTAATGAAAGCATGAACATGTTTTTGGATGCAGATTAAATTATTTTGAAAATAATTCGCCATATCCAAAAGCAAGTTCAAAGATTACATTCTTAAAGCATTTGTATTATTCATCTTATCAGTCTTGAGATAAGAACGTAACACTTATGCTTTTCGTATTGATGACACAGGAATTCGTCCCAACGTGGGATATATTTTGAAACAAAGATAAAATTTTAACGAAATAATCACATTGCTGGTTTTAAAATTTCCTTGCAGGTAGTGATCTGTTGAAAGGTTGAATTAATTTGCCCTAGCATTTTTCGCTCCTTATCGGGGATTTATCACACAGTAACAAATAATGTTTTGAATATGTGTATGGAATAAACCTTTTGTTGAATTTCAAATTTTGAAATAAACGGATCAGTCCGTTTTTAATCGCTAAAAGAATGAAGTTGAAGTCAGGGGTTGAAAAATACCATAGCCCGACGCCTGTGCCAAGTAAGGTTTAGATGTTGGGCGTGTAATATACCTTTTCGAGCATGCCCGAGGACAAGTAGAGCACACAAAATGAACTCGGTCAAGTTTCACACGAATGTTATCATGTGATCATGTTACGGTATTTGATTGGCTTATATTTTGTTAGTGTCCCAGACTGACAATGTAATTTGCATACAGCTACGCCAGTCAACCAATGGGATTAATGCATTTCGATGTCAGGCAGATCAACAACGAGAACCAGGCTTGTTTCATTGTTAAATCGTAGTAACACTTCCATATATGGCACATGCTTCTTGGAAATGGAATGACAGACATTTGACATTTCTTGGAAATTGTAACACGAGGTTGAAACATTTTCCGACTTTAGAAGCTTCATTAGGCCTAGCTTTGATGAAATATAATTTTGTCGAACTACAACAAATGTGACTTTTAACGAGTGAAAGTATTGCATTTATTTAATATATGTTTCTTTTCGAGGTCAACTAAAGTTCATTTCCAGGCGTCAATAGCGATAACCTGACCGTGGTTGCTGTAAATAACGGCGAGTTGTACCATCTATCGACCCCTTTACGCACGATTTCGCCAAAATTGATCTAAACTGTATTGAATGAAATTTTGAATAAAATTAATAAAATATGCTACAAAGATATGTCAAGGTACACAACAAACATGTTGTTTTTTTATAACCAGATAGTGTAATAATAGGATTTAATTGCGGAATTTGTTGATTGGTATTTCCGGTGTTGCCTGCAGGTGGTAATGTTTTTGCGATGGGGAAATGACATTGTGTCAGTGACTTGAGTTTACTAAAAGTGTATATAAGTTTTGCGAACCATGTGTTACCGCACACAATAACTGAGTTACAGCTATATTGAAGAGTGCAATAGTGAGGGATCACTAAGTAAACCTGCAGTCTTTTGTTTCAAATGAGTAAGCTAGTAAAGGAAAGAGTAGCCTCCTTTTGCCTCATTAGCACCAAGAGGGGTATCTGCAATAACAATTTTTGTTGCCAGTACCGCACATGGCTGATCATGTCTCAGCGGTCTATTTTAAGTTTCTTTGGCGGTGGGGACGAACTTAAAAGGAAGGCAGAGGGAAATTCTGAAAGTTGTATATCGGCCAAGAATAAGAAGTATGACGAATGTAAATGAAAACGAACATTCATCGCTAGGTGGAAAGACCAGTTTCCTTGGGTGGCGTATGATGACACAGCCAAAGTCATGAAGTGCTCCATTTGTTCCAAGTACCCAAACATACACACTTGCAATCGTAAGAGAACTTTTATTGATGGATGTTCAAATTTCAGAATTGAGTATTTGAAAAGTCAGATGTACATTTGGAGGGTATGTCATATGAGAGAGGCGCTCAAAGTCGAAGTACAGCAAGTACCAGCGGCAGCTGCGATGTGACCACGCCCTTGTCTGGGCCCACATGTAGCACTGACAATGTGAGTCCTATTGTGAAAGCCTTACAAAACAGTGACAAACAGGCAATGCAGAAGTTGGAAAAATTATTCATTATGCATTCCATGTTGCTTACCGGGGGAAACCGCTCAGTGATTTTGAGTTTAATTTGGACCTACTTGACTGTGTTGGTGTTGACATTGGGAACAAGTATAGGAACATTGCAGGTGCACGCGAGTTTATCAAAGCCATTGCATGTTCTCTCCAGAAGGAATTTTATTCCCGAGCTGAAGAAAGCCAGATTTGTGACAATTTTAAGTGATGGAAGCACAGACAGTGCCATCTTGGAACAAGAAACTGTCTTTATGAGATATGTAAGCCATGGCCAACCAGTATCCTTCCATGCAGGAACAGTACCTCTCGAACAATGTCATGCTGATGGTGTGCTTGGTGGAATTAGAAAAGCTGTTGAATCAGTTGACATTTGTTTTGATGATCTGTTGAGTACTAAAGAAGCAAGTGGTCCTACTTTAGTATCCGTGAATTTTGATGGTGCTTCAGTCATGCTTGGCAGCAAAGGTGGTGTAGCAGCAAAAATATTGCAAACAAGCAAAACATGTTGTACCAGTGCATTGCGTAGCACATAAGCTTGAACTGGCCGTATTGGATGCTGTCAAACATCTTCCTAGTCTGTCAAATTTTGAAGATGTCTTGAAACAAGTTTTCAAGTTCTACCATTATAGTCCAAAAATAAGAAGGGAACTCAAGTCGGTGTCTGACATATTCAATACTGATCTTGCCAATCTGTCTGATGTGAAACAGGTGAGATGGCTTGCGAGCCAAATCCGAGCTGTTAGAGCACTGAAGATAAGCTTTCACTCAATACTCAATCACTTTGAAAGTGTGGTCGCTGTCAGGGATGGCTGAGGAAAATGCAGACAGTTTCATTTGTGAAGACTATGTGCATCCTTCTTTATATCCTTAAGCTTCCTATCCTCACAAAGGTATCTCTAGTTTTCCAGAAGGAAGACCTTCTCATTATTGAAGTCCTTTCAGCAATTGAAGGTCTTGTCATGAAGCTCCTAAACTGTAAAATTGATCCTGTTGGAGCAGGGGAGAGTATGGAATACTTTAAAAACAATGTACAACCATGAGAAATCCCCTTTTGATGGTGTGAAGCTAAATGGTGTCATCTTTAAAGATGATACATTCCTCATATCACTTGTAGATGGCATCATCACCTACTTAGATAAGAGATTTTCATGCTTCAAACAGAAGCCTCTCAAGTATTTCTCTCTGTTTGACTTCACAGAATGGCCAACTCAAAGAGAGCCCCTGTCTGTGTATGGTAGCACCGACCTGTCTGAGTTCATGGAACATTTCTCTGCACTGTTCTCAGGAGAGGAAAGAAAACAAATGTCCAAAGAATTTATTGACCTAAAAGGGCACCTGAAAGGCTGCACCAGTCCAGTTCTTGATACATACCAGCGGCTGCTTGAAAATACACCTGACAAGTTCTTACATATCTGTAAGTCAACAACATATCAATGAAAAAACAGTGCTTATAGTAGGTGGAGTCGCGGCTGGTTTACTCACAATTTGGTTAAATAGTTCTTAGCGGATACGTACAACAGCCCTGCAATTGCTACGATCAGTGCCCACAAGTTTTGACTAAGCCAAGTGGTGGTCTTAGCTAATAAATTCAAGAGCCAGGAAACTATACTCCCTATTATACCGGGAAGTGCAGACGTGGCTTTCCCAGCGACCTTTCCCAGTGCTGAACCTAATGCTTTTAAATGCTTTTTTATCCACTTTTTTATACCATTCCTATCACTAGGCGGTACACCACCTCCTGTACCACCAGTTAACGCAAGAGTCAAAGTCGATATAATAAATCGCAATGCGGTTAAAATACTGGCAGTGGTTATCCCCTGTTCTCTGAACAATGTTTTAATTTTATCATCGGGTCATCGTTGAGGACTTGATCAATAGTTTCTAGAATTCGACTGATTTGTGAACGAAGTGCCTTTCTATTAATGGCAGCCGCCTCGAGGCGGGTCAATCTTTCGTCTTCTAAGTTACGCACTCTTTCTGCAATGCGACGTCTACTGAATTCATCACCCGCCTGTTCAAGTTTTGTTTTCTCATAAGCTATATGCTTGTCGAGTTTGGATAGCTTGGCTATATTATTGATGAATTCTCCCCGCATTGTTTGCATTGCCTTGTCAAGACCTCGTTATTCCCTAATACTGAACTCCGAGGATGGTACATGTAACGTGGAATTATCGTAGTAGGTATCCAAGATTTCTCCGAGTCTGTGCGAGGCCAGCTTCGAGCTTTCTTCCAAATTATCTATGGTACCGAGTTCATCACACACAGTCCGAAGAACCTTAGTAGTCTTCGCAGAAAGTTTTTCTCGTGAGTAGTCTACAAAACCTAAATCATTACGAACAATGTTGATGCCATGTTTACTGGCTATCGTAGACAAGGCTAGGGGCTTACAAGTACGATAATGCAGAAGGTATTCGCAATATTCCTTTACTATCTATCGTAAACTTTGAATAGTTACGACCAATTGGGCTAACATCTTTAAAGGTATTGTAATAATCATTAACGGTTGATTGTAAAAGTTCATCGTTAAGATTCATGCCACCAAAGCTGGTTTCATCAGTACCCTCTTCGATTGTACTAGGGTTATCAAAATCATCTAGATTAAAATCATTCATTTTTATATTAAACATAAGGTTACATAATTTCAACATAACAATGTCTTCGCAATACGGACGCAAGTTAAATCCAAAACGTAGACTTCGTGATCCATTAGGGGTCAAAGCAATTCGCCAGTCTGTAACTATAACTAATAACCGGAGTACCATTGATCAGAATCAAACGCTTCTGGTTCGCTTTCCTAATCTCGGCACACACGATGTGTTAGTTCCGGGAACTGTCCAACTAGCATTTACGATAAGTTTGACTTCTGCCGACATTAACAGGGAGCCTGTTCAGGAAATAGGTCGTGCTATCGTTAAGAAAATCGCGATTAAAATTA